CCTCGTGGGATTTTTGGGGTCCTGAGTGGGGCTCTGGCTGTGGGGCAGAGGAGGGTTAAAAGACCGAGGACTTAAGTGGTGGCGGGTGATGCGTCCCTGTCTCTGGCAGCCCTGAGGTGGAGTGCAGGAGCATGCGCTTCGCTATGCTGAAGGAGCAGCGGGCAGTGACAGGGGACGTGACCGCGTTCGACGGCTCCATCCTCTACCTGCCCATCCAGCTCCCCCAGGTAAGGGGCGACGTGATCTGCGCCAGGCTGAGGTTGTTTTAGCCAATTTGGGGGCACGGGGATGCCCCCCCGGGTCTCCAGTCCACAGGCTGGGTAGGAGAGCATCCCTCCCGCCCCGGCTAACGTGCCATCTCGCCCCGCAGCCTGTCAGCGTGAAGGCTCAGAGGAGGAGCGACGGGGAGGAGATCACCATCACCATCCAGATAACCAAGGTCCTCGAGCCCAGCTCGGATCTCTGCGTCCCTTTTTACAACGTGGTTTTCCGGAGGTGAGGGATGGCGGAGACCCTCCCCGAACTCCAGGGAGGAGACCCTCTTCCTCCTCCCTCTGAGCCTGAGCCCATCCTGCTTCTATTTTTGTTTCCTAGGGTGATGAGAATATTAGGCATGAAGCTTGTTAGGAGAAATTTCTTTGAACCTGCCCAGGCCACCATATTACAGCATTACAGGTGGGTGGTGGACGCAGTTTTCTCCTGCTGCCGCTCAGGCGCATGGGTGCGAGCTGGGGATCTCCCTGTCCCCCCGGCAGTAGCGTGAGGCTGGAAATTCAGAAGTGTCTGCCAGGTCAGCTCTCTTAGCCAGCTCTGGTTTAGCCTGACCTCAGAGCTCCTGTTTTCTGCAGTGCAATCCAGGGTTATTAGCTGAAAGCTGGCAGCCAGCTGGGAAATAAATCCCCATGTGTTTTGAGCGCTCCTTGGCGAGTGGGATGGCTGCCCGGCTCCTCTGGCAGCGCCGTGCAGGCGGCTCCGGTTTTAACTCAGGCGCCGTTGGGCATCTTCCCCTCTGGGCACAGGCTGCAGATTTGGCCAGGATACTCTGTCAGCATCCGGAAGAAGGACGGCGGCCTCTTCCTCTTGGTCGACGCCATCCACAAAGTCATCCGCAGCGATTCTGTCCTGAATTTCATGTAAGAGAAGGGAAAAAGCCTGGAGGAGCCCTGCGGGGCTTTAGGGATGAGGGTGGTTTTCCGGTAGCTGCATGTCCGGGACTGGCTCTTGGCAAGGGCATTGCCAGCCCTGATCGCTGGGCCCGTGGCCACTGGCACTGTTTGGCAAAAGGCGTTTTATTTTTGGGGTAGCAGGAGCAGGGAGCATCATGGTGAGCCTCTCCTCCTCCCTCTCCCCCTGCCGCAGGCACACCATCTACAAGCAAGGCCTCAGCAGCTTCCAGGACGAGTGCACCAAGCAGCTGGTGGGCAGCGTGGTCATCACCCGCTACAACAACCGCACCTACCGCATCGACGACATCGACTGGAGCAAGACCCCGAGGGACAGTTTCACCCTGGCCAGCGGCGAGGAGATCACCTTTGTGGACTACTACAGGTAGGGATCTGCCGGCACATCCCTTGGCATGAGCGTTTGTGGGGAAGGGCTTGATGCCTGGCTCTGACACAAGGTGGGGGAGCAGGAGCGGGAACATCTTTCCCGGTGCCATCTCCCTGCTGTTTTTTTCAGCAAAACCTACGGGATCACCATCAGGGAGCTGGATCAGCCGTTGCTTGTCCACAGGCCCAGGGAAAAACAGACACCGCAGGGGAGGGTGAGCCAGGCACGGAGGCCTGGGGAGGGGAAATTGAGAGACCCACAGTCTTTCCTCGGCTCCTCAAGGCCCCGTCCTGCCCGTAGCTGGGAGGTCAGGGGCTTGCAGCCCCCTCGGGGTGCTGACAGTGCCTGTCCCCATCCCTGCAGAGTCGGCTGGACATGGTACTGCTCGTGCCGGAGCTCGCCTTCATGACCGGGGTCCCCAACATAAAGAAGGACAGTCGAATGGTGAAGGTCAGAGCGTGTTTGCATCTGACAGTCCCTGCTCACCCGAGCCAGCGTTGCCCGGTTTGGAGAGCTGAGCCCCAGCCAGGCACTGCTGGGGGGAGCTCGGAGCCCCCCCTCCCTGTCGCACCCGGGGGTTCCCCAACCCACCTCCTCCCACATGCCCACTGCAGGACGTGATGCGGGAGATGCTGCAGAGCCCCAGGCAGCACTACGCGCGTCTCACCAGCCTCCTGTGCAGGATCAAGGACAGCCCGGAGGCCTCGGGGGAGCTGATGCGCTGGGGGCTCAGCCTGAACCCGGACATCCACAGGGTAAGGGCTGTGGGGGGTCCAGGCTCCGAGCTCCCCCCTTCCCCGGGAACGGAGGCGATGGCTGCGCCGTGGCGGCACTGGAGCTGCCATGGGGTTCTGCTCCGTTTAGACCCAGGGCCGAGTCCTGCCCGCAGAGAGGATCAACCTGCGGCATAGCTCCTTCATCCCTGCCGAGGACCTGACCTGGAACAAGGAGGTCATGCGAGAAGCCTCCATCTCGGCGGTGAGCCCTGGGCTCGGCCCTTGCAACAACATCCCCTTGTTTGAAAACTGGGATGGGTTTGCTTAGTGCTGGCATCCCGTCTGTCCCGCTCCCGTCTGAGCTTGTTCGAGCTTAAAACCTTTCCTTTATTTATGTTGGCTTTATGCTTCAGACTGTTTTTTCTAAGGAGGTTAGAGGTACGTGGCCGCAGTGGCTGCTTTCCCACCTCCTCTTGGAGTGGCCGAAGGCTTTCAGGTTGCAGGAATCGCATGATGTCATGTGTCGTTTAGGTTCTCTTGGGCCCCTTTCCCTCTCCCAAATTTCCCCGCTGCACTGCAGGGCCAGGAGCTGTGTGGTTCGGCGGCCGCGGCCCCGAGGCAAGGGCTGTCCTCGCTTCCCTCCTAGATCTCCATGAATTACTGGCTGCTGGTTTACCCGAAGCGCCTGCAGGGCCTGGCGAAGGATCTGGTGGCTGCCATGGAGAGCGTCTGCGGCCCCATCGGCATGCATGTCAGCCCTCCCGCTTTGGTGGAGCTGAAGGACGACCGCATCGAGACCTACGCCAAGACCATCCGAAGCGTTTTGGGTAGTGAGGTGAGGAAGGGGGCTCGGGGCCAGGGGGAATAACACGGATTAGCAAGAAGTTAACGCGGGTGCCGGGGAGGGCTGTGCAGCCGCTAGGTCTTCTCGGATCCCAGTGCATCCTGATGCTCGCGCGTCGCCCTCCTCTGCTCTGCTTCCCCATAGGACAAGGTGCAGCTGCTCCTGTGCATCATCTCCAGCAGCCGGGAGGATTTGTACGCGGCCATCAAGAAGCTTTGCTGCGTGCAGACCCCGGTGCCCTCCCAGTTAGGCAAGGGGCTCGGCAGACGGGAACCCACCAGCACGGGGAAGCCGTGGGCTTCTCCAGCCTTGCTTTTCCCTGTTTTTTTTTTTTTTTATTCCCCTCCGCACAGGTCATCAACGCGCAGTCCCTCACGGGCCAGCTGGGCAAGATGAGGAGCGTGGTCCAGAAAGTCCTGCTGCAGATGAACTGCAAGCTGGGCGGCGAGCTCTGGGGGGTCGACATCCCCCTGGTAAGGCGGGCAAAACCCCTTGGCTTGTGCGTGCGATGAGTTTGCAAGCTCCGGGGGCGTAAAATGTTGTGGTTGTGGGCTTTCCTCTGGGGATGGGGATGAACCATCTGCAGAATTGGGGTTGGTGTCTCCGTTTTGTGCGTGCCATGTCCCTTGCAGCTGGAGGGATCTGGGCAGGGCAGCCCGGAGGTGTCTTGACTTATCCCTAACTCCCCCCTGCCTTTTTTTCCCCTTTTTTTTCAACAGAAACAGCTGATGGTTATCGGCATGGACGTCTACCACGGCCACCGGAAAGGGATGCGCTCTGTCATCGGCTTCGTGGCCAGCATGAATCAGTACGTGGTGCCCAGGGAGGGAAGGCTTTCCTCCTGCTCCACCCTGGGGATG